CACTGAACGCGCGCGGGTACGGCGTCACGGCGAAGGCTGCCTGCCGAGTCCTTACTCTTCCTTAGACACATTGTTTTGAAAACGAAACAAGCGAGGAAAATTGCGATCTGCCCCACCCGTGCTCGGGAATCAAACCCCGCAACTCCGCGTGTCCCAACTCTACTTGAACTACAGGTCGGCCCTGAGGCCTCACACTAACACTAAGCGGAAACCGAAAAATGTTGCCGAGCCTGGAGTCAAACCGTCGACCTGCGACGCTCTGGGCGGGTGCTCTACCGACTGGGCCATGGAGGCGAGATACCGGCAGTCGCTCCTGGCCACGACTCATTCTAGGCCGTCGCGGAAGGCGAAAAGACATCAAAGTGTGGAGTTTTCTTTTCACGAAACTTCCAACTCTACTTGAACTACAGGTCGGTAAGCTGGGGAGCAGCCAATGCCGCAGAATAAAGTGCACATATGATCGGGGGGCGCAGACCGCCACACACCTCAAGAGTAAACCTGGTGGAGGAGAGGCAAGTAACTGGCCGCCCCGCCCAACCGTGAGAAACAAGGGTTCGCCGCCGATCCGAAGATATTCATTTGGGCAAATGAGTCAACACCTACATTAACACACATGCCCTACTGCCGGCTCTAACTCGGGTTCTATTGGAGCCACAGCGCCCCGATTTCGCCTGTACATTACTCTAGTAATTCTGAATAGACCTTGCAAATGGGCGATTAGCTAGCGCATTCAGAAACCTGCGAAACGACCTTTCAGGGACCGCGCGCGTGAGATCCGCACCGGCACGGAGATGTGAGTGGCCGAGTGGCTTGGTGCGCCAAAGTGGCGAGCCGCAGGAAGCGGGTTCGCATCCCACCGGCCGGCGTTGCTTTTCTTCGTCATCTTTCGGCGCTGACGAAGGGGTGACGAGAGGGTCACCATTTTTTTGTCGTACGCAAAAATTATGAATTCTGTGATATCACGGAGGTGATATGTGAATGATGATTCTAGCATTATGTGCTGATTTTATGTTGAGTGAGACTGTCCACCAGTTCCCCTTTCTGGTGAAAATTGCCGTTTAAGTTTTGGATATTGCCGATTAACATTTCAGTTTTGATTAGCAGATATTCAGTATTATTTCGATGCCTACATTTGAAAATACAAGTTCTTTGCCTTTGCGCCCGAATAGTGTACTTCGGCTAACGCAACCCCTGCCAACTCAATGTTAAAGCTTTGTCCACTATCTCCGCGCGGCTTCCCGTACTGCCACCCTTTGGACAGCGAAATTCCCAACTTTTGTCCCGCACTCCGAAACGAAATTTCCCGCACGAATTCTGAAGTGAAAATTTTTTCTGGCCTCCGGGCGGAGTCGACCCCACGACCATTGGGCCCGGGGCCCGCTCGGTACCGCTGCGCTGCCGAAGTGTTCATGTTCCTCGTTCGGAGCCGAGGAATCAGTTTCTGCTCAGATCGGCTGCTTTCAAGTATGCCAACGATTCAACGCAAAAAGGGCCGGAAATGGCATCCGATTATCTATTATCCCTGCATTTCTGACCTTTGCTAACAAATGGGATATGTTATTCCACACACGCGTCATATGTTGGAGTGCTAATCTAGCAGTTTGAAACTAGCCCATCACGACAACCGATCCGACAAATTTTTATGCTAAAACTGGCAGTACCGGAGGCCGCGCCAGGTGAGGGGGGGTCGGGGAGGACGAGGTAGCAAGCGGCCGGAAACGCCTATTAGAGTTGACAGGGGTTGGGCTAACGGAAGAAGAAGAGCGGATAAAACAGAAACGTTCACGATTAGTCGAGTTTCCCACCTCTACGTCACGCCGTTAGTGGGGGTAAAGGCTCGACCAATCACGAACCTTTATGTCCTACCCGCTAGTCTACACTGCTCCGTTAGTCGAAATACACGACACATTTTGAGTTTACTTTTGGAGCTGGACTGTCTCGTTACGGGCCGGGCTAGTTTTTTGCCGCCCTCTAGCGAGTCCGCTACCAAGAAGTCCGTAGGGCCGCTGCAAGCTGCAACCCCCTCCTCTACCTCCGCCCGCCCAAGGGAGCGATCGGGAGCGCTCCCTGAAAACACCCGGAAATGGCTTCTAAACCATCTGAAACAGGGTGAAGGGGTGGTGGGAGAACGGAACTAGAGCAATCTCAGGGAGCTCCCGGATCGCCCTCCAGACTCGCTCCGTACACTGCGACACCGCTGCCAAGGGGGGGAAAGGGGGGGGGGGTGAATGTAAAAAAACGATAGTTACAAGCCTCAGACCGTTTTCCTTCTGGAAACGATGTAGAGCAGCAGCAGTTGGGGGGGGGGGGGGTGAAAAGAAACGGCAACGCCAACGACAGCGGTGTTTGGGTGAGGGCTGATGTGCCTGCTGGCGCAGCGCCGGTGACGTCAGAGGGAAGACCAAACTGCTGGTACCGGGTAACGCGGGCTCAAGGGGGGCTAGGCGAGGAACACTAGCTTTGGTATCGGACTGAGCAGCTGTTCGCGCACAGCACTGGAGCACCTCGGCCACAGAGCTGCGCTCCTAACTCTTCGAAGTGTACTGCTGGTTGGAGGGAGGGCTGGCCACTTGGACGCTGTATTACTCACTTGGACACCACACTGAACGCCAAAACACTGTAATCCGACTTCCAGAGGGAACTGCTGCTGCTGGGACAGGGACGCTGGGCTGCGCCGCTGCACCGTAAAATAAAGCATTCCGGTAAAGCTAAAAAGGAGAAGAATGAGGGGAACAACAAAACGGAAATCGCTATGCGGTAGCATGGTGACTTCCGTTTCCTTGTTCCCCGCATTCTTCTGCATTTCAGGTTTACCGGAATGCATTATTCTAGGTCTCGGGCCATGGCCTGGCCCGCCGTGGCCCACAGCTGCGCACTCCAGGCTCCACACGAAACTAACTAAAATAACCGGCGAACACCGCAACCGATCGACACAGCGCTTGGCACCGTCACTCGCCGGGCACATGGCCGATTCACTGACCGCAAATTTGGCACTGAAAAGTGCGTTTATACCAACAAAAAGCGAGGCAGAAGACGCAGCGACGTGGAGGCGCCCTCACCGCACGCCGGCTCGGCCGAAACCGACCACGATAGCCGACGATATCACACACACATTCATAAACATAAACAATCGGGCACGACACACTGCGCGACACAACACTTGCCCACGTCTCACGCACAGCAACTGAGCGCTCGCCCGGCGGAGCCACCTGTCCATCTCGGCCATCTGATGAAAGCCAATCAGAATCATGCTTTCCGTAGGCAGGCGAGTGGGCGAGGGGTGAGGAAGGAGGGCGGGCGCCGAGCGGCCAGCGAAAGGCATCTTGCCATTCTCCAGAACCTAACAGTCTGATGTAAGATTGTTAAAGGTGTTACTCTGTTACCTTAAAAGATTTATAAACTGTACATTGGTGTGGCTTTTATTTAGAAAATGTAATGAGCAAATGACAACAAAAAAAGGAAAGACAAAAGTATGATAAAAATCTGATGGTCTATCTTCGATACCTGTAGCGTTTGAAATGGAACCACAATTGAAATATGTTGTTATGAAACTGACATCGAAATCCACGTTTGTATGAGTATTCCCACTCTCTGTTTACAATCTTGAATGCTATGTCTTCATATGGTGGACCAGCATGAAAGCGAAGAAGAGCAAAGTCCTTATTCTCTGGGCATGGAGTCTGAAATGGAAGTAATTTTGTAAGAAATGTACCTATTGTACAAACACAACGTATTTCTGAATTGCTTTGAAATGAACACATATGATAACTTACTAGGAAGTATTCTGGTGTAGCACCCTTATCTATCAGATCAGGGTAGAAAATGTTAAATTTATAACCTTGGACAATCTTGGGAGGAGGATTATCCATATCATAATGGGTCTGGTTGTACTTATTCCATTCAAATCCAGTGTGTACTCTGTAAAAGACAACATTGTTATTAAATAATATTAAAACCTCTGCTGTTGACAGTATTTAGCACGACAGAGAAAGTAAAACAAACCTGTTAAAGTAACGAGGCTTACGAGGCCGGTATTTATCTGACCAAAGGTAAACCTGAGTGTCAAGCTGAGTTTCAACTGAAAATTCAGCTTCATCCCCTGCCATCCCTTTTCGGGCTTCTCTTTGTAGTGCCCTCTCCTCTGCAGTAATAACATTCTGAAAAAATCAAATGACATTTAAGTACTTTTTATCCCTAATTCATTTTAATTCCTAACAGGTAATTTCCCCCTTAAATCACTTACCTCCACCCGTTGCCCAGCTCCTTGGGTGATCTGTAGGCGTGCAAACTCCACACGCTGAAGATCATCCTCTTCAGATATAACCAGGGTTCCAGGTTCAAGATCACTTGATTGTAAGTATCGAGGGGAATATCCACCAGAGTCGTAGTCAGCAAAGCTCTCACGCAGCATGTCATTGGCCGCATTCTCTTCACTAAAATCATTAAAAGAAACATTTAGGTTCAATGCCATTAAAAATATACCTTGGCTAAATAAGAGACATATATACTTACTCTTCATTGTCATCTTCATCCTCTTCATTCTCTTCATCTTCATCACTATTTGCTGCTTCTTCTTCAACAATTTTTTCATTCTTAGGATCTACAGCTGAGGAGGTGGAAGGTTGATTTTCAGCCTCTCCTTCCCCAGCAACTCCTTGTTCTGCTTTCAGAACTTGAAGCTTCTTGCGCAAATTTTCTTGATGGCGATCTCTTAAACGTGCTCTTGCCATGTGAGCTGGGAGAAAAAGAAAGAAACGTTATATGGATTAGACTAAAGATACAGATTGGTTTAAAAAGAAGAACCATACATTAAATTTAAATACATTACAAACCTTTCAATTGACTAAGGAGGCTCTCCCAATAACCTATGTCTAAGCCTTCCACCTTATTTCTTATTTTGCTCTCGATCTTAGTTTGAAGTTCTTCCAATTGAGTTGCTGTCTTTCCCTTGAAAACTGAGGAGACATCTTTGGCTACTGCTTGATGTATTCCTTCACGGCGACCCACAGCTACACAGAAGAAATGTATCAGTTATGGAAACATCCTAGAGCAGTTTCACAAAATTAGAGAATTTAGACTGTAAGTTGACATGTATTACCTGAATCATATTCATTTTGTTTTTGCAATTTTCGGAGCTTGTGCAACTCATCTTCAACAATTACAGTGATGTCATGCCAATAATCAAGATTTCTACCCCGCTCAAGTTCCTTGTAAACTTTAATATCTTCAATCAAATCTTCTAAGTCTTGGGTTGCTAAACCATTCAAATAAGTATAAGGTTCATGCATCTCAACTGCATCTACATCCTCCTCTGAACTGATGTACTTTGCCAGAAGATCAATGGGCTTAGCTGTAATCATTTACAAAAGAAACAATCATTTAGTTTAACTTCTATTAAAGGCATTTAAAGAAAATGAAGGTGACAATTATTATAAAGATTGCATACCTCTTCCATCCTGCATGCGGATGCGTGATCTGAGCCTAGCTTGTTCAAGATGAAACTGGTCTTCCTGACGTTCCCACTCCTGGAACTGGGCAGCCTCCTTGTTCCGTTGTAAGAGAGCAGTTTCTTCCTCTCTCTGCTGCCTTTCCAATTCTCTTTCTTGACGGCGCTTCTTAACCTTTTCCAATTCCCGCTTATTCTCTTCTTGTTTCTGTCGGTTCCTTATTTCTAGGTCTTCTCTGCTGAGGCCTGTAAGGCCTTCACGATCTAGCTTCTTACCCCATACAAAAGTGGAGAGCAAGTTTCCATCTCCAAATGGATTGTCCGTATTTGTGTAATGAAGGTAATCATTATCCCAGCCCATTCGCTCTTTCCGCTTTCTCTCTTTTGCTTCTTTCTTCAGAAGCCTCCTTAGCCGTTTTTCTTCAGGTGTCTCCGTAGCTTTTAATCGTTCCTTCTCTTTCAATTTACGTTCAACCTGTTTTTGCCTTTCTTCATGTAAGCGCTTCATGAGCTTGGTTGAATCTGCAGAGGAAGCTGAGCTGTTTGAAGATGAACTACTAGATGAACTAGAACGTGACCTGAAAGCAAAATGCAATCATGTAAATTCAGCCCTCAACATCAAACAAGAGCAGCATTGCTCTTTAAAAAAAATGTACCTACTTTTTTCTTTTCTTTTTCTTTTTTCTTTCAGGGGAACTGTCAGAATCATCTGCTCTTTTACTTCTCGACTTGTGAGATTTTGAAGGTCTGACAGAATCTGAGTGTCTAGAATTCTTTGCTTTATGTCTTTCTCGCTCAACGCTTCTGGACGCACTTCTTTTTCGTTCTCTTGACTTATGTTCAAATATTTCTCTGCTTCGACTGCGATCTTTTCTCTGATGGCTAGACCTTTGTCTATCAGGGCTGTATTTTCGCTGTCTGTCTCTGTGCATCTGGCTGCCATGAGACTTCCTTTGACTGTCTGAATAACGATCGTCTCTGCTGTCTCTAGATCTATCTCTATATCCAGAAGACATCCTGATATAAAAGAAAAGGGTTGAATGGATTAAAATAGCCTCAATAGGAGTTTCGGAAACAACAGGTCAACACAACCTCAACAAAACAGGCACAAGACCTAAGAGTTGCACAACTAAACACAGCTAGTTGAAGTCCAAATCATAGAATTTTTCTAAACTAGAATGCTTATGACGAGGTTTTTGTACAATACTGTAGAAACTTACGTAATTCCGACGAGAATTTCTTTAACGTTTGTAAATGTTTACTGTATCTGTATTCTGCTCCCTCCGTCGCCGTTGGTGAAACGTTTTCGTATTGCGTTTCGGTTTTAGCTCATGAAAACATTGAGTATGGCAAATTTGTACTGACGTGGCCAATCAAAAGTGTGACCTTTAGGGGGTGGAAAAGACAGTTGACAAACGATATGCTAGCAGAAGGCCTTTACTAGGGGGTGGTGGTGATTCATTCTCGGGACGAAAAAAATCGAATAATGTGAGTAATTTTATTGTTTGCGTGTTCTCTGAGCTGCATCCACTTGGTCGGACGATCTCTTACAAACACATTGTTTGAATTGCCTGAAAGCACTGAATTGAACCAATTTGGACTTGTTATCATCAGTGTTGTAGGTGTCAAGCAGACGCTGTGGTGTTGCCATTATTTGGGACACTTGTCTGATCTGAGTTTATTGTTTACCTACCGATTTGTTGAAATTACGCCTTCTGCTGTCATGAGTCTTGATATATTTGTGCAAACCTATGGTTATCATTAGCAGATTATTGATTTAAATGGGATTTTTGTTTTGTTTTTGTTTTTTAATGAAGGTTATTGGAGGTGATGATGGCTTTCTGAAGCTCATCTGGCCACAGAAAGGGGATGATCTGCAGTATCGCCCTGCAACAAACATACCATGTCGTACCGTGGCAGCACAAGTTCATTGAGTGCACTGCCTCTGAGCAGTGCTGCTGCTTTAGCAAAAGCACCTACTGCTCTCGAGCAGCTTCTGGAAGAGATCAACTTCCAGCGCACCAAAGAGATGCGACAAATGTTAAAGGATGGTAAGATTCAAGGCTGGTTTTTCTTTTTGTTTAAATGAAATGGTTTAGAAATTTCTAATGTTTTCTTTTCTTACAGACACTGGGTTTGTGATGGTACATGGTACTACATACTGGACTGATCTTTTTGTTAGACATTTCCTCTTTCAAACTGACCGTAACATTGACTGTGATGATCTCCTCTTTTTTGTACGGAAGAAACATATTAAAAGTTCATCACGACTTCTTCCAAAATTTGAGGTAAGAATCCAATCAAAATATTTTCAATTTTTCAAAGATATTAATTATTTCTATTATAGATTGTCTTGCTCCTTTGGCTTTCAGACTGAAGTTGATGTCTTTAGAAAAGCCAGTCGCAAACTACCCATTGGAGATCCTGATATGGATTGGGAGGAGACGGTCTACTTAAATTTGATCATACATCAATTTGATTATACTCTTACATTGGCCATTTGCACCAGAACCAGTCCCAAAGAGTTACAAGTTCTACGTAGACATTCTCAGGTAAACTGCCATTTAAAAGGGGGGTGGAAGTGAATTACTTTAAGTATTTTATTACTACATTCTATTCCTCACACTCTTCACTTCCTCTTTGAGTTATTTTATTTCCTTTCACTTGCAGAAAGTTTATGCATCACCAAGTAGAAGAAGAATGGATACAAAGGCTGAAGTTGAAGAAATGACTTACCCAAATGTGTGTTTTATGGTGGACAACTTCAATGAGGTATGTTAGTCTTCCTGTGATTAGTCTTATGAGGACTAGATATTGTAACAGTGTTGACTGAGAGGGTATTGTGTGTTTTACAGGTGTTTTCTGATATTATGGTAAGAGATGGAGAGATGGTCTGTGTTGAGTTGGTTGCATCAGATAGAGATGGAGCAATCCAGGGAGTCATTTTCCTAGGATCCATCCGTTATGATGCTCTGAAAAGAGTCTATGATGCCAGGGTAAGCACAAAATTTATTTTCCAGTCCAGTCTTAGCTCTAAAATGGCTCAAAGAATGACATTTGGCCTGTTCTCAAATTCTTCCTCTCAACGTGTGGAATTTGTTCGCATGAAGGGACCTCAAGGCAAGGGTCATGCTGAAATGGCCGTAACTAAACCAAAAGGTTCCTAATTTAATCTAGATTTCTATTTACAAAGTTGTCTATTTTTCCTTCCCACTAACAAAACTCTAACTATGGTTTTGTAGGGTATTCTGGTGCTGAAACTCCAACATCTGAACCAGGATATTGTGCTACTGATATGTGGGATTCTGATTGGGATTCTGATCCTGAGGAATTTTTTGTCTATCGTCATCAGGTATAGTTGAATTTTTACATTGTGCAGTCTCCAATTGTTTGGGATTTTTATTTTTATTCCTGATTTGTTTTTAGCGTCGGTTGAGTGATCCCAGTGCTAACATCAACAATTTTGTGAGGGGGGGATGGAAAACCAAACCTTCAGAAACAGCAGGATCCAAAGCAAGATCCGAAAATGAAGGTCTTGATTCACTTGCAAATGGTCTAAATGAAATAGAGGCAGGAGATTTAAGAGATGGTGAGTCTGGGTAGATCTATATTTTGTACAAGTTTACTCAGTTTCATAGGCAAGTCATACATATACCAGGTGGCTCATTAACCCCTCATGCTTTTGTAGTTACTGTACTGCATGCAGCCATGGGGATGGGGTTTGCCTATCGTCGCCTTACGGCCCCGAGCGGACAGACAACCCACCTACACGTCTGCATGCGGTACAGTATAACTACAAAAGTGCGCAGCGTTGATCAGCCACCTGGTATATTTAGAGGGTCAGGTAGGTGAAAATTTGAGACTTGTAAAAACTTGACATAGACAGATTTCAAAATTTTGACAGCCTTATGCCAATACTTATGTGGGACCCAACTTAATGGAAATATTTGCAAACAAAAGGAGAGATTTATCACACTTATCCCCTGTCTCATTTTTTCTCAACTTAACTTGAAGTCCTGTGCTTTCTGCCAATTTTTTGACTGCATGAAATGTGCATGATTTACAAATGCAGTATAAATATTTTACATGCTTCATTATCCTATGAACAATTCTATCTAAGCATGAATTTACCATAGACTATTCCTGTCCTGTCATGGATCCCTTTAAGACCTTTTAAAGTAGTCCTGTACAATGTATATGATTAATTAAAGGTTAAAAGCATTTCTACCCTCTTTTAATTGGACTGGCCACTAAATTGGGTATTGTGAGCTATTTTTTTTATTTTTTTTAACAAAATACATGAGGCACTGTTGTCTAACTTTAATTTGTGGACAGTACGTACAGTACTTCAAACCAAATAATAAATTGTACACTTGTTCAGCTAATTTCCATGATTTATGTAGCCTTTTGAAGGATAATTATATCACCAATATGTGTTTCCCCTCTCACCCTTGCTTATAGTAATGCACTCTTCATTTAGAAGTCCGTAATTCAAGAACAATGATTTTACCTATTTCTTTAGTGGTCATCAAATTTATCCATTGGATTCCCTCATTTCATATTCAAGTTTGATGTAGAATGGTACCACACCACTTTTTATTTATTTTGCTTTCTTTGGTTTTGTTTCTTATGTTTGTAGATTGCGAGTTTTGCGTGCACTCTGCCTCCATTACCACTTCTGATGCTTCCATTCCTTCGGGAACCAGCATTAATGTTGCAATGGCTACCAGTTCCTCAGCCTCAACCTCCACAACCTCTATGTTGAAAAGACTCCCCCCTGCTTCCTCGATTATTTCGTCCTTTTTCCCCAGCTGTAAAATGAAGCATCCTGGTAGAGCTGTTTCCTGTGTGTCTCAGGTTGATGAAGCAAGAAAAGAAAAAACTCCGGAATGCATCATTATGAGTGATGAGTGTGTTCAAAATGTTGCAGAGCTCAATTCTGCATGTGAGACTGGCTTTGCAAATGCTAAATGTAGGATTGACCTTAATGGAAAACAGCTGAATCCTGTAAGTCCTGAACAACGTTCAAACATTTTATCTTCACCAGAAGAATCAAAGGCTGAGGAACATCTACTGATGATTTCATCTGTAGACACATTGCTAGGGAATCCAAAAACTGTACATGCTGAAGTCAGAGATAGTGAAGTGCTTGAAAGCTTGACTGATGCAAGTGATGATGACTTTGAAGACTGTAATTCAGTTATAAGTGATACAAGTAAGAAGTCCAGTTCAGGAAAGGAGCAACTTGACTCTGAAAGTCAGGAGATTTGGAGTGATGCAGAGGAAGATGAATCCCAAGGAAATAATATATTATCTTTACACAATGATGATAACTATAAAGTACTGAATGAGGAAATTAGCTTATTCAGTGGAAAAGAATCCCAGGTAGAGCACTTAATCTCTATAGGAAAAGAATCACAGATTGGAAGTTCTTTTGCAATAAGCGATCTAACTCATCATTTAGAGATAGAGCAAAACTATGAGGGAAAGGAAGACTGTAATGAAAGCATGAATTGTCAGAGTGATAAAGAGTATGAGACAGAAGTTCAAACTCATGTTGCCCATGCCAAAGATTCATATTTTGAAGACCAAGAAAGACAAACTGTGATAGACAGCTGTGAGAATAAGGATGCTACCATGACCCCACCAGAAGTTTGTGCGCATGGTGTTGAGATGACAAGTTTGTGCCTTTTGTGTCTTGGATACTCAAGACAAAATGCAGACTGCTTACTAAGACTGAAACCGGGCCATGTAGAGCCAATGCATAGGAAAACGGTAGAAATGTGTGAAGGCAGAGGTGATGTGAAGACTAAACTTGAAGCACCAAACATTCAAACTCATTTTACGAGAGTTTCCTGTGAATGTTTTACTGAGAATAAGACCCAACAAGTTCCCAAACTATCTCAAACACTGCCTCGTAGAAAAAAGTCTGAATCGAGACAAAAAAGGGATATTCCTCCACAAAAAGTATTATCAGATGGAACTGTGATATATTATTGGTGTGATGTTCCTGGTGGATATATGGGACAATCACAAAATGGTATGTTTGCAACCTATATCTGCCAGGGCATTTTTAAAAATTATGTTTCCTTGCTTGCTTGCATGGCTTCTTTACTTATTACCGGTATTACGATTTGCTTTGCAACTAGTTCCTTTGATGAAATAAATACCGCATGCTTTCTAGAAACTCGTTTTCAGGACTAAATTGTTGAATGCTGCAAGACATCTGCTCGGCACACCCAAAGTCTCAACACTTCTTTTTAATTTTTTACAGAACTTGACGATGGAGCATATAATCCATTATGGACTATGAGAGGTTTTACGCAGACATTCCACTTTTGGAAGGAAAATAAAAGAGCTCAATCAGTCCCTTTAAATGCATTCCTCACTTATGTAACATTACCTTGGTGGAGTATTGTGAAAGGTTCGTATCAATTTATCATGTTCCTTTATTATTTTTCACATTTGCTGACGTATATTTGTCAATTCTGACATTACTTTTACAGACATTTTGGACCACCGTGAAAGTCCTATTTTGACTTTCTAAACCCCCTACCAAAGCTATATGTCATTCCTTGCTATTTAGGTGCTAGTCAGAGGAAAAACTTTAAATTATGGAACAGCACAGATCATTCTAAGGATGAATTTAGAATGTCAAGAGAACCAATGAAACATTTTAGTTACCTTCAGTGAGTGATGGGTGATACTGGAAGACAAACACATACATACTTAAAAATATTGTTTAAAAAAAAAAACTGGGGGAAGGGTGACTGAGTAGCATTGTGAGGAAACAAAGCTCTATTACCTGCATGCAGAAATGTCACAATAATCTTCTTAACATTGTTATTCATGACATGTGTGTACCGAGGTAGCTATCAAGTCTGAAATTAAGTGGCGGAAATTTTCACGCTTATGCGTATAACTTTGCTAATTCCATTTCCAAATCAATTCTTTACATGTATAAATCTGGTTTTAAAGTTTTTTGCTTAATTGTAATGTTTTGGAAACACAACCCTAAGGTGGTATGCTATAACCTGATTTCATTAGCTTTTTGCTTTGTTTCCATGCCACCCTAGGTAGTTCAGGTATTAAAAGTAGTACTACTTGATTTACTTAATTTTTTAAAAATTTACCTTTGAGTAGGGTTGGAACCTGTACAGTTATCTTAGTGTGGAACATGCTGAGAGACTATAAATATTGAAATATTGTATTAACTGGGCTGAGGGCCGTAATTTGATCTCCTTAAAATGAAATGGTGTGTTTCCTATTGCCTAAGTTTCATTGCTATTTTATATTTATGTTATGTTGTACTTACTTTAAAAAGATTATCAAAAAAAATCTAAAATTCTTGAAGACCTTGCTAGATACTTTCTCTAGATGGCAGAAGTTTAAGAGAATTCAAAATAATTACCATGTTGTCCTTTAGATCTTCACAAGTTAAGCATTTTTGTTGTGTCAATGCTCTCATTTAAAGTTTTTACTCAAATTTTTAGAAATAACCATGACTATTTGTTATAAATGTAAATATTTATATTATAGCTTCGATTGGTTTTGCAAAAATGTGTTATTTCGCTGTAAGAATTGTATGCATGATGGTGCAATTGAAATATTGAGTGTATTTTCTTTGCCGACATCCTTATTGTTATTATATTTTAATGTAATATTGTGGTTCAGCCGTAACAAGTGATCACTTGCGTACAAATGCTTCAAGTCTTGTCTATTGTACTATATTGTGTGATCCAGCCAAAAAAGACAGTGTGAAAAGAATTAAAGGTTATTTAATTAACTAACAATGCTGTATTTACCTTTTTAACAATCGATGGATGACTCCTATAATATTGCCACATGAAAATTATGCCACATGTCAGTCATTTGTCCCGCAACCTGCAATGACTTGTCCAAGTATGTCTTCTGGACTTGTCAGTGCTGACAGAAGTTAAGTTTGGTTTTCCTTGATTTGGGATTTAAGGCTGAAGCAGGGAATGAAACAAAGAATAAAACAAGAATGGACTTTACTTATCAGTATATACAAATGTATGCAATAAATGAAAAAAATAACAGAGGCCTAATGCTTTCAGCATGAATCAATGTCACCAAAATTAATTGTGTTCAAGTATATTTGTTCAGGTAATTTTTTCCAGCTCCCTTCAGTAACAGATATATTTAAAAGAATTTAACGCCATGACTGTCATCAATAGGTATAACTTCTGCCTTCTTTTGAGTCTCAAGAACTTGGATTGCTCTAAGTAAAACTTCCTCATCAAGTCCATGGAATTCTATAATAGAAAAAATAGAGTTTAAAAAGAAATCTTTGGCATAGGTTTAAACACACTGTAATCTCATTTATGGAATAATCAAGTCAACCTTGTTCATTTGTGTCATCTCCAGAGACAAGTTCAAAAAATGTGCAGACAGTATTTAAAAATCCATTAGCCTGAGCCCAACTATAGATGATAGCTGCCCATTCCTCTAGGGTATGCCAATACACTAGCCATCTGATAAGAAAAGATAATGAAGTAAAAATGAGCTGATTTAAAGCATTCAAAGTTTGGTATGATGCACTACCTGTTCCGAGTCTTATCTAAAGGTGTGGCATTGCCTGATTTCTGTAAATCTTCCAGTACAAGGAGAATTCCCTCCGGTGGAAGCTTGCCTAAAGATCAGAGTTCAGGAAAATAAAAGCGGTAAATAAGGAATAAAATTTGGACAGCTTAATGGGCTGTTGAAAGGATACGGTCAATACTGCTATTGTTGAACAAACTAGATTGATGAGCCTCTCGGATATCCAATGAGCTTAGATTGTTTGCCTTAAAGTAATTTAACACCAGGGTGTGCCAAGCCTTTAGTTGCCTCGCCTTAGTTTCAGCATGAGGCTGTATTCTGTGGAGAAAATACACATACTCATTAAAAGATTCACTTGCCAAACGAGGTTAGGAACGTCCACGTAAAGACAGAACTGACAGAACAACACTATTTAATACACGCTTAAAATAGGAGAAAGAACTCACGTGAAGAACGGCGGAAAACTGTATTGCCAAGGCCATTCTATTTCTGACATTATTGAATAAAGGAACAAAAAGATTCAATAGCAGCAAGATCTGTTGTTCCCCGTCGTCTGTCAAAAGAAACAAAGCGTGCAAATAGTGCGTCAGCTGGATATAAGGGGGCTGTCACCTGATTTGCACTACAGGGTGGAGCCGCTTCTGTCGAAATGCAGGTTTTCAATATTCTTCTGCATCTTCAGTTCTCGGCAGGAAAGTTTCGACTAAAACTGTGATGTGGTTGGGGGGTACGCTTTAACCGTACGCCTTACACGCACCGCGACGAGATTTGAGTTGTGGTATCCCTGGGGTACCTGTTCAGCCCGATACTAAAGGTACTTCCCCTTTTCGCAAAGTGCTATTCGCATTGAAAAAAAGTTTGCTAAAGGTCTTAAATCGGAAAGTAAGTATCGGTAAGGGAAGTTTACCCAAATCTGAGCCTAGAATATGCCTTTTCATGAACGTTTTCGGGTCTACTTCATTTAAGAAATCTAACACAAAGTTGACATGTGAGGGTTTATAATGGCAATAAGAGTGGACTCCAGTTGCTGAAGTTAATCGAACAAATAAGCTGAATGGTCTTCATTATGTGAGGGTGGCCGTATGCCCGATATGCCAAGATTGTCCCGCTTCCGGCCGAACCGAGGTGTCAGTACAGTGGAACGAAGAGGATCTGCTGGCTGGCAGCATGGAGTCAAGCAGAAAATCGGACACAAACGTGTTGTTTCCAAACAAACACGGAGTTGGTACATGTTTTAAAACACAGTTTATTTTCTATCTAATCATAGTGACGTTTCTTAATCAGATTAGTTCCTTAATATTAGATCACAGAGAAAATGAAGGGCCCCTTAACAGTCTGGGTGCGACTGGACGCACGACACGTCTTTTGCTCATACTAGTGCACCGAGGCCGGCGCGCCAGCGGCAGGGGCGGCGGCGGCGGCCCTGGCGTGCTGCAGCGGGATGCCGTTGGCGAGGGGCGCGTCGCCGCGCACCCTGGGCGGCGCGGTGACCACCACCGTGGGCACGGCGCGGCCGAGGCCTTGCTTATCATCCAGCTGCCTCTGCAGGGCGGAGAGCGACTTCCCCTTGGTCTCGGGCACGGCGGCCACGGCCAGGACGAGGCACAGCGCGCTGCTGCCGGCGAACACCCAGCAGGCCTCGTGCGCGGGGAGCATCTCGAAGGCGACGGTCGCCAGGACGGCGCCCAGGATGGCGGCCGCCGAGCCGGCCGAGGCCACCACGCCGCGGACGTTGGTGGGGGCCAGCTCGACGGCCAGCGTGCCGGGCAGGGAGAGGAGGCCGAGGCCGTGGCTGAACGACCACACGAGGAGGGCGGCGACGAACCACCAGCCGAGGCCGCAGGTGTCGCGCTCGTCCTCGCAGCGCGCGGCCGCCAGGAACACGTAGCCGAGCCCGGCCATGGACGCGGTGGAGGCCGCGGCCGAGGACGCGAGCAGCACCCGCCGGCCCAGCAGGTCAACGAAGGTCGCACAGCAGAGGCAGCCCGCCAGGCTGGCGCCGGCCAGGCACAGGCAAAGGGTCTCCGGGCCGAGGAAGGAGGGGTCGGCGGACTCGGGGAGGCGCAGCGCCGAGTAGAACAGCACGGCGCTCTGGCCGGCTAGCGCCGCCAAGCAGCCCAGGGCCACGGACACCAGCAGGGCGGTGCAGGCTGCCGGCCTGCAAGAAAGAGCGTGTTTTTGCAAAACTGTCAGCACAAACATTTTTGAATGTGCGGACAGCCGGACAGCAGAGGGTGCTCGGAACGTTTTCTGAACGACACATTCCACGTTTTGGCATACCTCTTGTGCAGCTGGGTCCAGCACGGCTTCCCGCGATCGTCCTGCTTGAGCTGGGCCAGCTCCGCCTTGACGGTGCTCGCGCTCGTGCGCATGCTGGCCAGGCTCTCGGTGGCCTTGTTCCAGCGCTCCTTGGCGGCCAGCACGTAGGGGGACTCGGGGCTCCACGAGAAGGTGCTGAGGAAGAGCACGGGCGGCAGCGAGCAGAGCGCGACCAGGCTGCGGTAGCCGACGCTCGGCCCCAGGGCGTGCATGGCCAGCAGCCCGGCCACGCCGGCGGCGCGCGCCACCGTCAGGAGCACGCCGCGGACGCGCGGCTCCGCCACCTCGGCCACGTACACGGGCACCACGATGCTGGTCGCGCCCATGGCCAGCCCCGCCACCACGCGCGCCGAGTACAGGTTCTCCGGGTGCATGTCGGCGGCCAGCACGATCAGCCACGACAGCAGGAAGAGGAAGCCGACCGTCATGTTGACGTACTTGCGGCCGTACTTGTCGACGGCGTAGCCGACGGGCACGCACGCGATGAGGGCGCCCAGCTCGAGCGTGGCCGGGATCCACGGCACCTCCTGGGGCCACACCCCCCAGTCCCAGGTGCGCGTCAGGGTGTTGACGAGCGTCTGCGAGGCCCAGCCCGCGCACAGCCCCGACGAGAAGAAGCTGAGCGACGCTGCAACAGAAGAGGACATTGGTGTAGAGGACGACTTGGTTTATTGTACAAATATACCATACCGGGTGATTCAGAGAAGACGCAGGTGCGAGCGGGTTTGCCTACCCAAGGGGCCATGACGCCTTACGGGCAGATCGGGTAGGCAAACCCGCCTGCACCTGCGTCTTCTCTGAATCACCCGGTACGTTTTGAATGCTCCCGATGGTCGCTGAATAAAGGTCGAGGAAGGGACGACGTTTGTACCCGTGGTAATCATACTTGAACGACAGTATGTCATTGTGCCGTTAAACACTTAGCGTCGGCATCGCAGCCACTGCCATCATCTAATCTACATCGTCAGATAATGTTATTTCTCCCTCAATTAACTTTTAAACGTTACGTTCTTACGACCTAGATCACTCCAGCACCTAGAAACGCACCCTCTCCTCATACCCATACACCTCACACTTAAAACATCGCCCGCGATGCGAGGCCCATTGCGACGATACCGCTGGACACCTAGGCCTAGGCTTATCTGGCCTGCCGCGGGTCCCCGGCCTGCCCAGGTCGGTGAGTGCATCGCTGTTCCGCACCCCTTGTCCGATACCAGGTCGTCTCTCTCACTCCCTCTCCCCCCACCTCTTCTCCACGTGTCAAAGCCAGCAGCAGACAAAAACCTTGTCACCGGGCTAGGCTAGCGCCAACAGCCCCGCGAGCGAGCACTCGACCTCTGGTCCAAGTGAAGTGGTGGGACAGTCCTGCAGCTAACTGTTGCACCGCGCCCCGCCCCGCCCCGCCCTCGCCGCGGCTGTCGTCGGCAGGGTGGTATACCTTCGGTCCCTTCGGTGGTCACAGGGCACGGCTGGCGACCGAGTACCGTGCCGAAGGGATGCTGCTATGGCTGCTCCCTAAAGGCCACACGGACACTACTGGGCACCGGCGGGTAGCCTATTCGCACGTGTGCATACGGGCTACTTGGTATACGCATTTGCCGCAGCGCAATGCACACAGCGGTCACCCTGTATGTCAACAAAGAATTTACTGGCATTGGGGTCCAACCACCGCGTCTCCCTCTCTCTCCCGCTGCGCGTCGCTGCGTCGTCCAAGCAGCACTAGCAGCAGAGATTCCCATGGACAACTTGCCGCGCGTCCGCGCTCCCCCGACTTAGTTTGCTGGGTATCGGTCCCACATGGCCCAGCACGAGGCTCGCAGTGGCCGGGATGCAGTGCCAATTTGTCAGCCTTCACATGAGCTGGGGGACATAACTCACTTAGACACAACAACAAACGGGAAATCAAGAACGCCGCCTCCCTCTCGGGGAGTGAAAGTGATTGTGAAACTCTCTCCCCCTCCCCCATACTCCTTCTCCCTCCCCCTCCCTTCCCCTCCATTCCCCCTCCCTTCTCTTGCCCTTGCCCACACATGACTGAATTACGAATTTCAGTGCGATTGGAATGGTTGGAAAAGGACTGGGCGACTGGGGGGCATACCGATTGGCATGCATGAAATCCTCCGCCAAATGAAAAACATTCACTTTGGCAAGGCCAAGAGGCGAATTTCCCCCGAGTTTATATAGCACAGTCACCCATAAAACTTAATTAAACGAGGAAAGGGCAAGCTTGCTCTCATTTTGGGATCACTTTTCAGATACATAAGCACGGAGGACGACGAACTTGCGCGGTATCAGCCACAGTTGGCAGGTCGAGAAGAGCGAGTGAAAGCGAGAGGACAAAGCACGCCCAGCCCTTTCTGGGAACGGACGTGCTTGTGCGTGAGCAGGAGCCTCTGGCGCGAACCCGCGTCATCGGTATACACTGCATATGCAACGCGCCAGTTACGGGCTGGGTGGGTGTAACAGGAGGCACGTTATTTGCCGAAAACAGGGCAAAACATTGTGTATGATTTTTGCTTGACAGCGATACATGTTTTAAACGTATTGATTCCGAGGCAAAGCCCCCCCCCCTCCCCCTAGAGACTGGGAGACTAACTGTTGCGGTTCAGCGACTCACATACAAGACGAGCACCTCACTACAAGGACGGCCACTTTGAAAAGCCAAACAAAAAATGAGGAGCAAAAAGAGTTTGTCGATGCTAATGACAAACTCTAGTCGCTGGGCGTTGGGCCGGGCAAGCCTACACGTAGTAAAAAAGTGAAAGTAACCGAAGAACATGAGCATCGTTTGATTTCAAGCGCAGATCAAGCCGAGGCTCAAAAATCATAGTATGGCTTGAAAATGAAGGGAGAAAAATACGTATCGAAGTTCAAGAGCGATAACGACTGCTTATGCCGTTTCCATAGGGTACAACATTTTAGTGCATTTCCATGCAGAAATAAAACATTTCAAAACAAAGTTTCATAAATCGGTATAATTTCTACGTCATCGTGGTCATCGACGCCGGGACCAGATGGATGACAAATCTTATGGGATACAAAAGAGTATTATGAAAGTAATATACTGCAAGATCATACTCATTAATAATTGAGTATTAGGAGGTAGGAAAAGTACGGCCACGGTAAAGTGTGCTAAAAACGACTTGGCATACGCTCATTAAGCCATAATTGAATCGGCAGACCGCAGACCACGCAGCAAATAGCTACACGCACAGACTACTGTACAGAACTGTTGAAAACTCACACAACTCAGTTACTCAGTTACACATGCTATTTTTGGGATGCTATAGGTGCACTTTTTAGAGCCATTCACTGCAGTGTAAATTTAATATCAGTCAAACTATCTTTTCTGCTGACCACTTTTTATTCATTTTTTTCCAATTGCAAAGAGTTTTTGCAAAAAGTTTTTTTTTCAGTCAAATTCCCCCCCTTTCCTCCCTCGTTCATCGACTTGTCTACGCCCTAGTGGGAGGACCCCGTCAAGCCGAAAGCATTTCGACCAAAGGAGCGTCGATTTCTCGTCTTTCCCGGCGCATCCGAAGGTCGAGTAAACACGGCGTGTTTACAGTGTGTGTCGCTCGCAGGGCGGCCCGGCCTGGCCCCGGCGCGCCGGCGCGCCCGCTATACATTCGCTCTGATTAGGCCGGTCGGTCACCGGCCGTCCCTCCCGCCCCTCCCGCCCCTTCACTCGGTTGTAGTGGAGCAGTCCGCTTGTAACGCAGCCACACGCGCCCCTCACAGTCATACACGCTTCGTTCAGCGCCTATACAACGACCTTGGGAAAGGCGTCTCGTTCGCTCCCCTGGCCCGGACTCTGCCGCGCCAGGGCCCGGGACGCGTTCAAGATCGCATACTACTGTGTCCTGTCCAAAGTTCTACGCCTGAGCGATGGGTGCGAAATGAGTATTCAGGAGGTCTTACTTGGAGCCGGGGCCGCGACGCTAAAGGAGGAAAGAGACAAAGGTCTCTTTTCTAAAAAGAAAATAAGAAAGACGATTAATGTATACATTTGATATCGTGGTTGGGAATGATTACCTGTGGGAAATCATAAAGGCGCACCCGCACCACCAGTGACGGCACCGTTTGCCCGGTTCGGGATTTTGACGGTATTTGCTCTGTTCGCACTCCCCTCCGAATGGCTAAATTTCGAGAGATTTTCGTGTGTACGACATGGAGACACATGTCGGTGAGGCGGTATTCCTAGCCCTTTTCGCAGTGTACACTGTTGGAAATTATATCGTAACGAAGTAACGAAAACATTCGCAAAATGACGAACAGTTTGTAAATCGGTAGTTGTCCTAAAAAACGGTCCTGGACGCAATTTTTTTTAAAACAAACACTCTCACATCCTGATCAATCGACACTATTGAATCGTGCGCTCCTAGTTGTGTCGCTGTATACGAATAAGTTTGTCTTGTACCCCGCTATGAACAGTTCGTGATCGAAATGGACGAACCATACTCGTTAATTTCAATTACGAACTATTCGTGACATATTATTATCGTGAAATGACGAAATTCTTCAACAGTGTAGCGCGTCGCGTACCCTCCCTCATGATGCGAGTCGATAAGAAAACCCTTCCCCGTGTTTTGCGGCGCGCCATTGTCGCACTCCGAGGCGAAATAATAAAAGATAAATAAAAAGAAATTTATTGAACTCTCCCGAAACGACATAACTGAGGCGCGACTTCTCATCTCTGCAGCCAATAAATCTGGATATAAACGGATATGGCGGATAGTTAGGCCCCATCCAATGACGTGTGAAGCCTCCTCGATGCATTAGGGAACAAGAAATAAATAACGAAAACAAAACAATGGAAAAACAAAGTGACAACAAAGAGGGGTTAGGTCAGTTGTCTCGAGAAATGCGGAAACTGGAAAACTACTCGTCGCATCGCAAATTCGACTCAGTGACCGCCGTTTGGATTCACTCCGTTTCAGTTCATCGGATAGGCCTAGGCATAACAACGCTAGTTCCGGCCAGAAACGTATGCTACCTGTACTCAGGGTTATTAGTTGTTGGCACCCCTTTAAACTCACAGTGCAACCTTTATTTTTCCCCGAGCTCTCTGCTACAGCCTTTTTTTTACGACTCTAGCTGAACCCCGATAAAAAGCGTGGTGCTCCCGCCAACCCGCCCACACAGCAACGCAGAGCCGCGTTAAAAGTCCGATCATTCTATTCGCAGATAGGCGTAGCTAGAGAGGTTCGCGCAAAGGAGGGCGAGCAAACCGAGCGCACACTGTAAAGATTTGTCTTGTTTCGAACAAAAAAAAAAAAAGAAAAAGCTCCTCTTTGTAAACCAACGGCTGCTTGTTCTAAAACAAAACAAAAAAACTCGAGGAAAGCGATCCGGCTCCGTTTCTCTCGCCCTTTTTGATGTCAGCTACGCCGCTGTCTAACTGGGGCAGAAGAAGAGAAGAAGGGCAACACTCCCGCGGAGACCGCGCGGCCAACGTAAATTACGCTGAAAGGACGGGGCTGAAAATCGCCACGAGAGGACACCGTCCGAACAATGACCAGTGCGAGGCGGGGCGGGGCGCGGCGGGGGCGGGCGGTGCAGCGGGGTCCGACCCAATCCGAGATAGAAGCAGGCCATCGGACTGTACAGCCTGATGGCCTGGGCGGGCTGCCCGCCGGGTACCCATAGAGGCGAGGCAGCGCACCCCCTCAAGTACCTCTTCTTCGGGACCCCCGGGCCGGACCGGTCACCGCGCCGCGCCCCGCCGGGCGAGCGGGAGCCGGCATCCTGATCACGGATCGGGTGGGAGGGTGGAGGGCTGAAGATAAATGTAGGGCAAGGGCTTCCCTGTTCGTAACCGGGAGGAGTCGAGTCACCCTCCCCCCGTCCCCCCTCTCTCTCCATAACGTCCTGGCGCGAAATCCCAACAGTGGTAGTAGTAAGGGAGCTTTGGGATCAACGCCATTTCCGAAAGACGAAGAGGAAAGGGACTGGACGACGGAAGTAAAGATCGCAGTGGAAAGGGATGGGAACGGGAGGGCCACCGTGAAGCAGCGGAGAGATAAAAATATATAAAAAAACACAAATCACATCAATTTGATAACGTTTGTTCATAGGGTAAGATGCCCAATGATGGACACCTTAAGAGACGGATCTGCTCAGTGATGGCCACCCTTTTTTTTTCTTGGAATGTAAAGAACGGAGCGAGGTAGTTTGGCTAATTATATCCCGGTAGGGATCTTACTAGAACATTAGTTCCGTGCCAAGATCGTAAATTGACGAGTTTGGCTGCAAATCGAGAAAAGTGGCCATCACTGGTACAGTGTCCATCACTGGGCACCTTACCGTAGGTTTAAGCGGCTATCCAGCTCGATTGGGGCATAAACAGAGCATTCATTACAGCCAGAGCGATTTCTTACCACCGGCAAAAAGAAAGACAAAAGCGTGAGTTAATTTTAGAGGAAAGGAGGACTGTCTAAAAACAACTAATAAACAGCAAATTTTATAGCAATTTTTACAAAATTGAAAAATTGGCAAACCCTCTCCATTGCACAAGCTCGCTCCCGTTTTTGTTCTGTTTTGTGTTGTGCAATGCTTACCGAAAAGGGAGTAGAAAATCTGCGGCACCAGGGGGAAGGGCGGAGCGCACAGAGAGGCCATGTTGATGCCGTCCTTGTCATCCGAGGCGTGCGGAGTGGCGTGGCGTAGCGTAGCGGCGCGGCGAGGTCCTCAATCGGTGTGTTCCGGCCGGCCTGGCCCACCGCCGCAGCTGCCGCCGCAGCGACAGTCCATCCGTGACGGTCAGTAGCAGTCCATGACCGTCACAAACCGCGCCAGCTGATTGCGATCGTCACCCCCCCCCCTCTCTCTCTCCCTCTCTCTCTCTCTCTCACACACACACACACACTCAAACACACTCTTTTCCTATGCTCGCATGCCTCACACGTGGTCCAACGCCGTCAGAACTTCTACTCCTGTGAGAAACTTTCCCACGGGCACCAGTGTGTCCAGCCGTGGCTGTGGCCGTGCTCTACGAATCCGGATCCTCGGACGGAATCACACACATACACACAGACTACTTTTAGGCTTGTATCCCAGGTGCAGGTCATGCAGAGTCTTGCGGCGTCGATCACTTGAGCTGACACGGCCGCGAGGCGCTCTCCCGCACGGAGCACAGTCGGCGCTCGGCTCGAGGCTCGCGCAGGCAGTCAGGCAGTCCCAGCAGCGCGCCCGGGCCACAACAACACCGCTCCACCGCCGCTGCAGCAGCTCCGCCCGCCTCGCAGGAAAAGCACTTTCTCACAGTCTAGTGCCCCGGCGGAGGTCCGAGACCCAACACTACCCGCGCGGTCCCATCCGTCTGAGCTCGCCCCCGTCGCGGTGTGGCGGGGCGTGGCGGGGCGTGGCGGGGCCGGGCGGGGCCGGGCGGAGGAGCTCGGACAGTGTTGATAGATCTGATGTGCAGCACCTGATAACGCCTGAGCACAGGCTACCACGGCTGTATGCCCAGTCTCGGCGTCGACGGGGCGTGGAGGGAGTAGCGTGGAGGGGTACTTCGGCGGCCGGGCCAACCCAACGCGTCCGTCAACGCGAGGCGGCAGTGCGACGACGATTTTAAAAATTCGCGCCGCTCGGGAGGACGACACAGCTCACCGACGCGACGGCTCGGCCATCACTGACTGCGAGGACCGCGTCTGTCAACATAACGTGCCAGCCGGCGCAGCGTGGCCAAGCGTGGCGTGGCACGGCAGCGGGGCGCGGCGGGGCGAGGTGGCGGGCCAGGCACACGCGCACCCAGCTCCGCAGACGGTATAGAACACCCAGCAGCGCGAACGGGGCGCTAAAGAGAGGAAGCGAAGAGAATGCCAAAGAGAAAAGGATTTTTGGACACTTCCTCCATAACGCGATTTTTACGCCTCTCGACTGATTGAAGTAAGATGGGTTTTGTGCGCGACCGGGGTAAGGGGGGAGGGGGGGGGGCTGTCTTAAAAGCACCCTTTCTTCGTGTCGTGCGCGGCGGAAAAGAATCGGCGCGCCTCGTCACACCCCCGGCGGCCCCGCCTGCTCAAGTCTGGATGCGTCCGGATGCGACCGTGCGCGTCCGCCATCCACCCAGACTGACACTGCAGCGACACCGGCGCAGCTGCAGCTGTGCAGCTGTTGGGTCCGACGCGAGGGCAATCTAAGCTAACCGTGCAGGCCGAAGCAGGCCGTCCGGCTGGTGGAGCGAGAGCCCCCGGCTCGCGTGTTGTCTGGGAACGCCACGCACATGGACCGGCGGGCGAGGGGAGAGGGGG